GCCCTTCATTGCCTGTGAATTGCCGGGCTTCTTCCTTTTGAATTTCCGGGGCTTTCAGCGACTTGAGAAACTGGAGAACACTGAACTGCTGCTCTTCATCCAGTTGCATGAATCTTGCCGCTGATATCGTTGCTTCGCCACCATGCCATTCAATGGCTTCTCGCAACGTTTCGGCCCTGCCGTCGTGCAGATAAGGCGCTGAGTCTGCTACGCCCCATAGTGGAGGTGTGCGATATTCCTGGTATTCGTCGCGCCGCTCGATAGTCGTAAACGTTTCGACGCGATGATATTCGCCGCCGTAATACATTGGCATAGAAATCAATTTCCGGGCAGTAACCACCGTCACGGGAATCCTAGCGGCAGGAACGGGATCTTCGAACTCAGCCCCCATGTTATGCAGCAAAAAGTCAGAATAAACACCGCTAACCGCTCCTACATCTTCGACATGGCACTGAGCACACCCGATCGAATTAAAAAGCATCTGGCCCTGACTTACGTGACTTCGCATATTCGGATCTTCCGGCAAGACTTGCTGCGGTCGCGGAAGGGATCGCACAAAGGCAACTAGTTCGTCTGTTTGTGAAGGCTCCAGATCGACGCCGGTCAAACGATAATCAGGCAGCGTGGGATCCTCGGCTTGTAACATCTCTTGAACTTGTAATCCAACTTCGGCAGCACAAGCACCTTTGACAAACAGATCAAGATCGTCCAGTTGGCCTCGCCATCCGAAGCGCCCTGACTTTCTGCCTGAGATACCAGTCTGGTAACTCGATTTGTTTTGCGTATCGGCAATAGCAACGATATCTGACTCGTTGATTCCATCCGCAATCAAATTGGCACCGAATAGTTGAGGAGGATTTCGATCCGCAGTCGCAAATTGAATTTCCCTCATGTAGGCGACAAGCTGAAGTGGCATACTCGATGCCGCGGCCAAGTTTCGCTCTCGCAGCATTCGACGCAGTCGACCTCGAGATTCAAAGCTATCTTCCAGTGGCGTCGTAATGCGTTGATGGACTTCATCATAGTCTTGGTTCGTACTGTATCGGTGCAGTAGAACGCCCGTCGAAATACGCCCTTGATCGTCGACAAACAACGGATGCATCAGCTTAAGCCGATTGCGGATAGCGTCGGCGTTACGCTGCGAAAATTTGCCCGGTTCGGGAAGGAACGCCAACATCTGCGCGTTATGCTCGTTGGTGCCGCTGCCTCCCACGCCTCCTTGAGAATGGCATTCCGCGCAGCTTTTCGCATTGTANNTTGGGCTGCCACTGATGAACAAAGAGGTCGCGGCCCTTGGCAATTTTTTCAGGAGTCGTATCGAACTGGGCCCATGCCGGTGAAGCAAAAAAGGTGGCCAGCGTACCTATGAAGAGACATAACACGACACGATTCATCTGATTCCCTTTCTTCCACGAAGCGCTCTACGTGGCCGCACGAGTGGGGCCAACACCCCCTATCTAAGCAATGTTTTCCGACGCTGCAAACATTCTGTCCATCTTTTTCGGAAACGTTCGTAAAACGAGAAAGAGATCAAACAACACCGATATAACCGCATTGCCTATCCTTCCAAGGCCCGACCGCTTGGTTCCCGCTGCATGCCTCTTAAAATGAAGACACCCCCAGTCGATCAACTTCGAGCTTGTCAGGAATAACACCATGTCGTCGAACTTCAATTCCCTCAACGATGCCGAGCAACATGTCATTCTGCGGAAAGGAACCGAACGTCCTTTCACCGGCGAATATACCGACTTAAAAGCGAAAGGAACGTTCATTTGCCGGCAATGCAACATGCCGCTCTATCGCTCGGACGACAAGTTCGAGAGCCATTGTGGATGGCCCAGTTTCGATGACGACCTGCCAGACTCGGTGAAACGTGTCCCGGATGCCGATGGTCGCCGCACCGAGATCGTCTGCGCCAACTGCGGCGGGCACTTGGGCCACGTATTTGAAGGAGAAGGCTTTACCTCAAAGAACACGCGGCACTGCGTCAACTCGATCTCCATGCGTTTTATTCCGGAAGGCGAGACACTGCCGGAGGTGATCCGGCCGTAGCGGATGCTCTCGCATGAACCATGCGTTGTATGCATAATGGTCAACACGACTATGCATAACATCCTGGGATCTTCGCGGTTTGCGGCGGCATGGAAATCGAACAACTCCAACAGTTCTTAAAGCTCGCCGAGCTTGGCAACTTCACCAGAGCCGCCGAGAGTCTGGCCATGTCTCAGCCGGCGTTAAGCCGTTCGATT